ATTTTATGGCTGAGTGACAAAATTTAAGTTGTAATTCTACAATAGTAACAATTTAACCAGACTAAACTAACCTGATTGCTTTTGGGATTTACAATGCATTGCTTTAATTACTTATAGCTAAACTAGGCCACACATGTCAAATCTCTAAATCGTGTAAACCAAGTGTTAACGTTTCACCAATTGCTATTTTTACTATATCAATTTATCGTTTGACCATTCTCGATTTTTACAAATGTTTTATCTGTATTCCGCAGAAAGGATTAAATCTAAGGATGAATTGAGCAGACCCCTGCCATAACATGATGGGGTTACACCCCATGATTCCTGTTGTTCATCTGAAGTTTGGAATATAAGTTTTTGTCATGTCATATGCATGATTTACTGATGTAAAATGATGAAATTAGTATCTTATAATATCTTTTTATTTGTATGTCTATTTTAAAGAGGAACAGTCCTAAGGCAGGTATATGTACAACAAATTAGTAAGAGAGGGAAAAAAAAGTTAACTTTAACCCCCATAGTGCTGTATGCCAAGTCAAATGCGTACATGCAAGCATTTTCTTGTATGTCATTTCTCAGCAGATGCCTGAACCTGTTGCGAGAATTAAATTGCCCAGAATGTAGAAGTTCTCTGTAGTTAAGCATGCTATAAACTATACTGTACTGCAGTAATTCGAGTCTGCATAAGAATACTGAATGCAGTGGTGTATTTAGGATTTGTGCTGCCCTAGGCAGGACGGTGCTCGGGCACCCCCTCCACTAATTAAAATTTTCCCCACCCCTTCCTGTCAAGGCTGCACTTTGACTGACAGACGCTCACTCACTGACCAACACATACACTCATTGACAGACACACACTCTCATATACACTGACAAACAATGACATACACACACAATTACTTGGACACACACTGACAGACGCACACTCTCACTGACAGACGCACGCACTGACATGTGTCGGTCAATGAGTGCGTGCGTTTGTCAGTGCGTGCGTCTGTCAGTGAGAGTGTGCGTCTGTCAGTGTGTGTCCAAGTAATATACACACACATAGACGTACACACAGATACACAAACACATACACATTCATGCGGAGGATGCTGAGCAGGAAGAGCTCAGATGAGTATGCTCCCTCGCTGCCCGCCGCCCGCCTCAGGGGGGCTCAAAAGTGGCCAGTCGGCCAGCTCTTGAGCCCCCCAGCACACGAGGCAAGCAAGGGATCTGCCTGGGTGTTTGCAAAGTGCCGCCCAAGGCAGATGCCTTGTTTGCCTCGCAGAAGACACGTCCTTGACTGAATGTATTGAAATATTTATTATTATTTATGAAGCCCCAACATATTCCACAGTGCTGTCACACACACTATACATTCTCTCTCGAACTCAGATCTGCATTAGAACTTAAAACTTCTTGTCTATTTGAATAGTAAATTCAAGAAAGCCCTTAAAGGGTTGCTCCAAGGGCTGCTGTAGAGACTATGATGCCTGGAATACCCAGGCCTTGTTCCCCAACCGGCTCTGATGCTCCCTAGTGGCCTGGTGAATCGCCGTTCATTGGCTAAAAGAATCAGCTGGTTGTTTTCAGCCAAAGAATGTCATTCTGTGGCTGATGATACCCCAATGACGCTGCTAGAGGTGGAGTTACACATCCGGCAACCAAAGGTTAAACTCTGTATGTGCAGCGTTTTATAGTGAAACGCTGCACATACAGCCTCCAAAGTAGTCATATTGCTTGGAATAACCCTTTTGACTGTCTGGTGTTGGAGACACACATTTTATGGTTGAATATTCTATATTTTCTTCAACGTATTATTCATTGGCATTTTTTTTTTAATACAGCAAAGCAAGAAAATCTGCATAGATTGTAGAGAACGAAAATAATATTTAATATTTGAATGTTTTCATTGTCCATTTAAAGTGATAATCCCAGGCCTGTTGGAGGGGGGGTCTTTGCTCCATTCCTTTCTTTTTTTAAAAGCCTGATGTCATATATTTGCTCATTGCTCCATGGGATTGGTAAGTATGGAATTAATACATTTCCCACCACTCCCTTCCACTGCACAGAGGATGGATGCACAACTGCCTCACCCTGACATCTATTGTTTTCATTCAAACTATGTACCAAAATAGCAACATATCTCATGTGGCTTAAACTTACTCAAATAGTATCTACCCTTTTAATGATAAGTAGGATCCACTGATTTAGTAATAAGAGGATGCACTAAATCTTAATGTGGCCATTAATTTAACCTCTTTATGGCCACCTGTGACCCTGTATTTGAGATTTCATGTGCCATCTTGGACTGGCGTTTGACCCTTAAGTGATTTAAAAGCAATGGAAGTAGTTTAAGAGCGTTAATCTTTATAACATTCTCACTGATAATACTGACCTGATGTTTGCACATTTTTATTGTTTTAAGTTTATTATTTTTTTTTACCATCATCCACAGGACGATCTGAAGCCTGCTGCTATCTATTTACCGTACTTATTTAATGGATATGTTTGTAGTGGTTGAGTTAATGGGCTAAGTTCTGTCTCTATTGAGCTAAATAAGATCTTTCTGATTTACTTTTTCTTTCTTTCTTTCTTTCTCTCATCCCCCCCCCCTCATTTATTTATTGTATATTTTAATGCTTTATATAATGCATTAACAAGTAGGTATTACTACGAACCCAAGATGAGAATGCTCCTTACATCATAAGGGGTCAAAAACCTATGAGAGGTTGGGTGCCTTTACTCGGCACATGAAATCGCACGACACGACCATGGTGGTGAGATCTGAGGATCTCCCTTGGATCTGGCCTTATATCTGTACCTGACTGCAGTGGGCAGTAGAAGTACAATAAGCTGTAGTTGTTCTGGTGACTATAGTGTCCCTTTAATATATAGCTATACTACAGAGCAGAGTTAAGTTGTGACATCATAAAGGGCTTAAAAGAGTATATGATTGTTCCTGTGTCTATACAAAGTGCACATGACAACAAAGCTGAGAACATATTGGCAGGTTAGATGTACCAAGTAGCCTTTATCCGCTCTCAAATTATGATGGTGTTTATACAGTATTTGCTTTTCTAGAACCTGTGGTGACCCACTACTTTCACGCTATTCTTCAATACATAGGTGCTTCCCATCACAATTTAAAATAACCTCATACAACATGAATTGATAACAGTTGGCTGGTCCCAGGACAGCAGCTGTGACTATGTGGCTGCACCACACTGCACTTCCTGTATCAGTTATCCCTCTACACTCTCTGTAGTAAATCATGCCATGTCTTTTCCCACAGTCTGTTATTGAGGTTTTAATTCTGTCACTTCCATGTATGTCTTGTTTCCCTTGTACGTCCCTGCTACAGTAGGTGAAAGTTAAATATAAATAAGTAAATGTTCCATGTTGGCAGTGAAATGTACAAAGCTAATCATTTCCCCCACTTCTTCTAACCTTAGAACCCCTCACATCATACCAAAATAAGGCATGCCTTGTGTGTAGGAAGAGGCTCATGATTACATACCTAGCACTTAGGATTTAAAACCTGCATAGGAAGAAATGTAGGCACTAAACTTAATTTGAAGAATCAGGGGGGCAATGTAGCTCCATCAATGTACTTGTGGGAGCGTAAGTATAGCTCAAAATATTGTGCATAGGTGCAGCAATCCCTGCCTAGGGGTGTACTGTGGTATACAGGTCAACAGGCAATCTTCCTCTACAGCAGTGTTCACATATAAAAGAATAGTTGTAGCGGAGAGGTAGTATAATCCACAGTATCTCCGCTGGGTAACAGGAACAGCATAAAATAATCCAAGGAAATAAATACAGCATACAATAATCCCGGTAGCGTTATAAGAATCCTTCCTTCCCAAGAACTAGACGACACATAGGCTGGGAGTCAACTGAGCTTTTAATCACAGGTCACTGTATTTATGGGATTCCCCATGCAAGGGGTTTCCCTACTGACATTCCAGGGGTGGTACAGTAGGGGACAACATGGGGAACTGACCAACACATTCATTTCTCCCATCATGCACTGCTGGACGAGAGGGATACTCCCACTAAAAAATACCGTTAAGTGGATTATCCCTCCGTGCAGCAGAACTTACATTTTACATTAAAATACATAACTTCCATTATATTCACTTTACACGAATGGACATTCGGTAGATAGCTGGGATCTGAGCGCACAGTTGTGAGAATACCGCTCAGCTACCAGTCTAACTAACCGAACGCCGCACGAAATACACATTATTTCTAAAACACTGTTAAAATACCGATTGGTATTAGGGGAACAAACTGCCGAACGGCCTGGAAGTCCAGCGGTGTTCGCGCCGTCGAGTTTTAGTTCCAGGCGCTCGACGGCAAAACACAGCTGGGCTAACAAAGGAACCAAGATGGCCGACCGCCGCATGGTCGGTAGCCGAACGACGGCCACCTAGGGAAGCCTTTAACTACCGATTGCAACAATGTTGCAATTGGTTAATGGCCGTCACACGACCTCTTGTGACCATCCATTCGGTAGTTTATTTGTTTCACGAACAGTGTTGGAACTCACTGTTCGTGAAATTACATTAGGAATGCTGGGGTTTTCATACCACCAGCATACAAATGCCCTCATTCGCCTGAAAGAAACATACAGCAATATACTTGGTTCTCACAGCTGAAACAGGGATAGGCACATATTCTTATAGTTATAGTCTTAAGTGGCTAGTTTTGCCACAATGCTCCCCCAGAACCAAGCCGGCATACACAGTCTGATCCCAACGGAACGGCTTGGGGATGTCCGGAGGAGCACTCACGGATCACGGTTCCTGGTCTGTTTGTCGGGATAACCCGTCGGCGTTGCCATTTTGTTTCCCAGGGCGGTAGTGAATTGTAAAGTCAAAATGCTGCAGCGCCAAACTCCAGCGCAGCAGCCTGGCATTATCTCCTGACACCCTGTTCAGCCACACCAACGGGTTGTGATCCGTGAGTAATGTAAACGGTTGTCCATATAAATAGGGCTGCAGTTTTTTGATGGCCCACACCACAGCCAGGCACTCCTTTTCAATGGTGGCGTAGCTTACTTCTCTGGGTAAAAGTTTTCGGCTTAGGTAAGCTACTGGGTGTTCGCCGCCATCTGCTCCAACTTGGCTCAGTACTGCTCCCAATCCAAACATAGAAACGTCTGTATGGACGAGTAAACATTTAGTTGGATCAGGAGCAGAAAGTACAGGTGAGTTAACAAGTGCCGTTTTGAGCTGTTGAAATGCCTGTTCACACTCTGGGGCCCAGACTACTATCTTAGGGAGATTCTTACGTGTCAAATCAGTGAGAGGTTTGGCTAGGGTGCTGTAGTTGGCCACAAATTTCCGTTAGTACCCGGCGGTTCCTAAGAAGGCGAGTACATGGGTTTTGGTGCGAGGGGTTGGCCACTGGGTGACTGCCTCTATTTTAGCAGGTTCCGGCATCTGCTGTCCACTTCCTACCCTGTGTATTAGGTACTGAACCTCTGCCATCCCTATATGGCATTTGCTGGGTTTGAGGGTCAGTCTGGCTTCCCTGATCCGGTCTAGTACGGCTCCTATGTGGGTCAGATGCTCGGGCCAGGAGTAGCTGAAAATGGCGATATCATCTAAATACGCGCACGCGTACTCCTGGAACCCATCTAATAACCGATCTACCATCCTCTGAAAGGTAGCCGGGGCATTTTTCATCCCGAATGGCATGACCTTAAAATGATACAGGCCAAACCAGATAACAAATGCCGATTTAGGGATAGTGTCCTCCGCTAGCGGAATTTGCCAGTACCCTTTACACAGATCTATCGTGGTGAGGTACTTGCCCCTGGCCATTTTGTCCAGGAGCTCGTCTATCCGGGGCATGGGGTTGCCGTCTGAGGTAGTTTTATCGTTGAGCCTCCGGTAGTCTACACAGAAACGGGTCATCCCGTCCCGTTTCGGTACTCGTACTACTGGGGAGGCCCAGGGGCTGTCAGAGTGTTCTATCACCCCTAACTGAAGCATTTCCTCAATCTCCTTCCGCATACTTTCTTTGACGGCTTCTGGTATGCGGTAAGGAGTTTGGCGAAGAGGGGTCTGATCTAGGGTTTCTACCTTGTGCGTGGCTAACGGGGTATAACCAGGTAGATTGGAAAACGTGGCCCCTTTTTCCTGTATTAACCTTTGCACTTGGGTTCGCTTGTGGGGGTTTAATCGCTCTCCTGACTGTACTTCTCCCAGGTCTCCGCTCTGGCCCTCCTGGTCTAGGAGATCTGGGAGTGGTAGATTATCAAAATCTTTGGTGGCAGGGGCACAGATCGCGGTCACCTCTTCGGTGCGCTCGTGGTATGGCTTGAGCATATTCACATGGAGCATGCGTTTGCCTCCCGCGCCTATGACCAGGCCGATCACATAGGTGATATCACAGATCTGTTCTACCACCTTGTATGGGCCCTGCCAGGAAGCCTGCAGCTTTTCTTTGTGGACTGGTCGCAGGATAAGGACTTTTTGCCCCACCTAAAAGCTGCGGTTCCTGGCTCCTTTATCATACCGTCTGCACTGTTGGGAATCGCCGGTGTGGAGTTAGATGCTGGTCGGTTCTGTGTGTGCTGGTCCCTCCGGTTATCCTGGAACTCATCTGCCAGCTTGGCAGCCTCTTGCAGGGTGTGTGGTTTTCGGTCCCTTACCCAATTCTGTAGGTAGGCAGGGATCCTGATACCCTCCAGCACAGGTAGAGAACGGACGTGATGTCCAAATTGTGCCTCATTAATTGCTTCAATGTCCAATATGTAATGCAGGACAAACTAGTTCAAAGAGGTCCAAATGCCAACTTTACAAAGTTTTCAGCAGAGACCTTTGCCATTGAAGAACTGTTCCATGACCATCAATTGGTCGTGTAGTAGACACAGCCTCTCAAAATCTTGCAGGTAGTCATCCACACCACCGTCAGCCTCTGAATAACTTTTGAAGGCTTGGTAGGGAATTTTGACTTTCCCTGGGAAAATATTGACCGGTGTCATGGCTCTTTCTCTGGCTTGTTGATTCCCCTGCGCCTCTTTGAGCATGATGTATTCCTGCACATCTGCGAAGAGCCTGCTGACCATCTCTGCAAATGGTGGGCTTGGGAATAGAGCCATCCTGCTCCTGAATTCTTTTGCGAATTCCCGTTGATTCTTCCTCCACTGGAGGTGCTGCTGCAGCAGCTGCTGCTCTGTCTCCTTCCATAAGTTCTGCAATCAAGATAGCCTTCGCCTTGTTGCTGGCTATTGCTCCTCTTGCTTGAAGCAATTCTTTTAGTGTGTTTCATTTTAAAAGGGCATAATTTGTTCCCATTCACCGTCTGTTCGCGGGTTTCCACGTGTTCCCGGCTCCGGTTTCATCCGAATGGGTTAACTCCCGAATTGCTGCTCTTTCTCCTCTATTCGTTTCAATTTCTGCCGACCGTTGCTTTGCTGTGTAGTTTCAATTCCGTCGCTTGCCACCAATTGTAGCGGAGAGGTAGTATAATCCACAGTATCTCCGCTGGGTAACAGGAACAGCATAAAATAATCCAAGGAAATAAATACAGCATACAATAATCCCGGTAGCGTTATAAGAATCCTTCCTTCCCAAGAACTAGACGACACATAGGCTGGGAGTCAACTGAGCTTTTAATCACAGGTCACTGTATTTATGGGATTCCCCATGCAAGGGGTTTCCCTACTGACATTCCAGTGGTGGTACAGTAGGGGACTACATGGGGAACTGACCAACACATACATTTCTCCCATCATGCACTGCTGGACGAGAGGGATACTGCCACTAGAATATACCGTTAAGTGGATTATCCCTCCGTGCAGCAGAACTTACATTTTACATTAAAATACATAACTTCCATTATATTCACTTTATTTACACGAATGGACGTTCGGTAGATAGCTGGAGTCTGAGCGCACAGTTAGTGAGAATACCGCTCAGCTCCCAGTCTAACTAACCGAACGCCGCACGAAATACACATTATTTCTAAAACACTGTTAAAATACCGATTGGTATTAGGGGAACAAACTACCGAACGGCCTGGAAGTCCAGCGGTGTTCGCGCCGTCGAGTTTTAGTTCCAGGCGCTCGACGGCAAAACACAGCTGGGCTAACAAAGGAACCAAGATGGCCGACCGCCGCGTGGTCAGTAACTGAACGACGGCCACCTAGGGAAGCCTTTAACTACCGATTGCAACAATGTTGCAATCGGTTAATGGGCGCCACACGACCTCTTGTGTGTGGTCGTCCATTCGGTAGTTTATTTGTTTCACGAACAGTGTTGGAATGTGTTTTCATACCGCCAGCATACGAATGCCCTCATTCGCCTGAAAGAAACATACAGCCATATACTTGGTTCTCACAGCTGAAACAGGGATAGGCACATATTCTTATAGTTATAGTCTTAAGTGGCTAGTTTTGCCACAGAAGTTGTGGCGAAACCGACCTCGCCACTGGGCATTGGAGAAGACTGATTGCCAGCCTCCTGCCATGTGACTATGGCCCCTGGGATGTATTGCCCTTTAAAGACATGATTTGGGCATAATGGATTTGTGTTGTGCTGCTGCTGGTCCTTTAAGAACCATCTGGGGACATACTGTGGAGTTACTGGGTGGCCACCATTTCCTGTATCAGAGGCACATGGTAAGAACAATGGATGGCGGCCATTTTAACTCACAGACACTGTTTGGACTTTTCAACACAGTGCTATCTCGCCGGTATTTGGTGCACAGAGACATCGTGCAGTGGTTTTGGACTATACAACAGTGGACACATTATACAGTAATTGTTTTTCATTTAGCCTGCATATGTTCTGTGGAATCTGCATTAAACTGTATATTCCAAAGTACTGAATGGATCTGGGTGAATTTTGGATACGTGGTTCACCCAGATCCCCCGGTTCCAAGGATATACTTTTGTGGTTATTGCATGTTTTGGGGTCCCTGTGATGTGTTTTATGATACTGGATTTCTCTGCCTGTGATAATTATATTACCCATTGTGTTCAGTAATTATATCACAGGCAGAGAGGAGGATTTTGTGTGGGAGTGTCTGTGTGTATTGTACAGATTGATTGGTTGTTCTGTAAAACCCTGTGGGCAGTACTAAGTGGATTGGGAATAAAAGAGGCTGTATGTGCCAGTACAGTCAGTTCTGCTTGACCTCAAAACGAAGTATCGTCTCGTTATTGGGGGAATTGGATTGCATGCTGATTGCCAGAAGTGTAAGCTGATTGTATGCTTTTCCTGTTCAGCTGCTTACAGCATTCATATGCTTGAGAGCATTCATATGCTTCTCCGGTTCGTTGGTTGTGGTGTCTGCTGCAGTGCTTGGAGTCCTCAGGAAGCGCTAGGAGCATCCTTCAACGGAGGTACCAGTCGGGGTGCCAGGTGATCCGTTACAGAAGTATACAGAAAACAATATGATGTAGTATGTCAAACCGAAGAAGGGATAAAAGTAAAGTAGAACACTGAACTCACATATTTTGGAGCCGGAATAGCGGCTCCCTGGATATGGCTTGGAGTGGTATAATCCCCACTCTAGGATATGAATGTTGCTTGCGCCTCTCCGTATATGGATATGGAAGAAAAAGGTACTCACAGGGACCAGGGTGTTCATAAATCTTTTTTTATGGGACCACACTGATCACTGCTGGATTTATGAACACCCTGGTCCTTGGTGGGGACAAACAACCACCTACACCTACTGGATTGAGCAATCTGTATTTGCTCCATTAAATGTGAGTACGTTTTCAACATATTTGTTTTATTGTAGCCTCACAGTTATACACTATTGGGATTTTTTCCTTTCTTTCTTCCATATCCATAAACGGAGAGGCCCAAGCAACATTCATATGTTAGAGTGGGGATTATACCACTCCAAGCCATATCCAGGGAACCGCTGTTCCGGCTCCAAAATATGTGAGTGCAATATTCTAATTTACTTTTATCCCTTCTTCGGTTTGACATACTACACCATATTGTTTTCTGTATACTTCTCTTTTATATCTGAACACTGCTGTAGAGGTACATTAACTGTTGACCTGTACACTGCAGTACACCCCTAGGCAGGGATTGCTCCGCCTAAGCAAAATATTTTGAGCTATACTTACGCTCCCACAAGGACATTGTTGGCACCCCCCTCCTGCTTCTTCAATTTCTTACACTGGATAAAAGAAACTCTGGACTTAGTGTTTGAGCTGCCTCAGGACATTTTACAGTAATATACAAGCGCTGAC